CGCGCTCCCCGCCGTCCCGCAGGTGAGTCCCTGCGGGGTCACCGTCGCGCGTGGGTGGGCGGAAAGGTGGCCGGGGCGCGGGGCAGCGATCACCTCTGGTTCCTAGGGTTCCCGCCCTGAGCACGCAGCCGGCCGCTTCGCGGGAGGCGGGGGCGACGCCAAGTTCAACTTTCGTTAACGGGAAGAGGAGGCGGGGCTTTCCGCTAGGGCCTGCGGGTGGGCGAGGCGGGCAGAGGGCGGACCCGACCTCCGGTATCTTGATCCCTTGGTCAGCCGGGGCCGAGCCTCGGTCCGCCGAGCAGGGGGGGCCTCGGTCTCCCCGCGACTGTCCCTCGCGCCAGGGTAATGTTTTGTTTTCCCAAAGAATGTCTTAAGGAGCTAGAGCGGAGAGTTGCTTGCGCGCGTCCCTCCCTCTTCGTGTGGACACCGGTCTCTGCTGCTCCGCGCGCGTCCCCTTCCTGGCCACGCGGCCGCTCGGGCGTTCGGGGGGCGGTGCTGGCCTGGCGAAGGACCTGGGCGGGTCCCCCGCACCTCAGGCAGAAGGCGGGCGGTCTGCGTGTCTGGCGCGGGCTCACGATCCCGCCTGCGCTCTCCGGCGTCCTGCTGCGCCTCCTGCGCAGGGACCACTGTGAGTCGCGGCCGTTTGCAGGAGTCGCGCGGGAGGCAGCGCAGGCCTGAGCTCCGCGTGTGGGCGCCCTGCGCTTCCGCTGCGCCTCCTTGTGGCACGGGCTGAGTCCCTTCGGGGGCGCAGCGGAAAACCTAGGTCCCGAGGATGTCGTGTGGGTCGGAGCAGCGCCCGCGCACGCTCGTTGGATCCCGCGACCAGTGCCTGTCCTGTCCCTGAAATGCCGCTGCGTGGCCCTTCCAGAGCAGTGCTTTTTAAAACACGTGGTAAAGCCCTCCCCGAAGGCGTCATTCTTTAAGAAGCACGGACCCCTTGGCACTGCTGCGGGCGGGGTCGCCTTCCTCCCCAGGCCCGGGACTGGCGGGTTTGGAGCTGACGCCGGCCAGCAGGTATTCACTGCGGTCCCTCGAGCTCTACCGGGTCGGGTCGTAGCCTGATTTGCAAGACCACAGCCCTGCGGTGCCAGCTGCTTGTCCAGGGCTTGTGTGCCAATTGGTTGGCACACGGTACGTGACCCCGCCCCCACCCCGGATGTGTACATACACAGACGAATGTTTACTCCCGCAAATGCTGAGGGCTACTAAGAATAGTTCCTCGCTGGCGCTGAGCGCAGGGCTGGTCTCCGAGATGTTTCCGGCCTGGGGCTGCGCTGGTCTTGGCTGCCTTGCAGTTTAGGGGACACTTGTCCTCCGTGCTGCAGGAGGGAGCAGAGGGGAGGGGACTTGCCCCTGGATGATTTCTGTGTGTGTCCTCGAACCAAAGCCCGGGCTCTGGGCAGATGGGGCAGAGCTTTCTGGTGGACCTCACCGGGTGGCTGTGGCGAATGTGCTCTTTGAGCGCAGTTAATAAAAGGAACTCAGGGAACAACGCCGAAGAAGCAGAAATACCTTTTTAACCTAGAAAATGTTGTAGGATTATTTAACATAAATTGCAAAGGCACGTGGCTGTTAAATGTGAAGAGTAGCAAAATTATGTAGTCCTAGGTTCCTCCTTCCTTTCGTTTTCTTTTCCTTTCCTCCCTTCTTGTGTTTCTTCCTCTTTTCAGAACTGAGAAAACTAGAAGCCCTTAATCTGACTATCATAGTGACTTTCTGCCCACGGGCAGTCAGTAGGTGATTACATCTTGACCAGTGTGTGGGGATTCACAGGGGTGAACTTTAAGTCTTCGAATGAAAATGTAGAACATTTAAGCCACAAGACTTGCCACTTTGGCGGAGATGTTTCTGACTGTTTGACTCTATTATTTGCTTCTGTGAGAAGCAAGAAGGCGAAGAAGCCAACACCTGCACTGTGCATTGCTATGGGAATGCTGGGCTCGGATTTTTAATTAATACAGTGGTTCCTCACTTCTTGGCGGAGGTCACTCCACATACCCCCATGATAAGTGAAAATCAACGAGGTATCCCTGTTATATTTTAGTATTTATACACATTTTAAGGCTTTATAAACCCTCCTACACTCTTATAAATCTTTCCCACACTTTCAAAACACTTCTCATATTCTTAACCATTTTCTAAACTCATAAACCTATGTAATTTTATTTTATCGTATTTTTAAAATTTATATATTTGGTACAGGGTCTTGCTATGCAGCTCAAACGCATAGTGATCCTTTTGTTTTAGCCATCCCACAGCTGGGATTACAGGCATGTGCCACCACCGCCTGCCTGGGTGGGGCCTGCAGGGAATATAGCATGGGGGATGGAACCCCAGTCCTTGTGCTTGCCAGGCAGGCGCTCGGACTGCTGAGCTATCTCCCTGGTAATCTACGTAATTTTAACTACATACATATACTGTAGGGTACTGCAAAATCCCACCATATAGCAAAAAATCCTCTATAAATCATTTAGATTAATATTTTTAGAAAACCTGCCAGTGAGTCTGTGAAAGTTGAATCACGAAATAGTGAGGGACTACTGTATTGTTTTTCTCCTCTGAGACAGAAAGACTTGATAATAATGCCTGTGTTGTCACATACCCTGTGATTTAAGTATGTATTGCTTTTCTTTGAGTTTCCACTGAAAATGGTCCTTTGGCCTCTAAAGCTGTTTTTGTGAGGACTTTTCTTTTCACCAGGCTTGTCTTCTAGCTAGGTCTTGGAAGTTACAGAGAACATAGCTATAATTTCTCCCTCGATCAGCAGCCGAGAGCTTTCCTGGACAAAAATAAGGCCGCATTGTGCCAAATGGTTGACTTTTCTAGAATAAAAACTCTAAAGGGTGTGCAGAAGCCCTCTGGTTAATACATTGGCATTCCCAGAACCCACTAAAGCGCAGGCAGCCTGCCAGACTGCACTTAATGAGGACGCAGCTCTTCTGGCTCCGATCCGAACAGAGGGGCGGGGCTGCGTGTCCAGCCCTTTATCCATTTTTAATGACTGTACTTTCGCTGCTTCTGCTCCATGCTCCATTCGCAGCAGACCCCATCATGTCAATCCCCCCATTTATTTACTCATTTACTTGACATTGGAAAAGCCTCCAGACGTCAAGGTCAGGGAGCCAGCGGAGCCATCATTTGTGTTGGCATGGGTTCTTCTGTTGCTGGCTCGGTTTCATTTTTTGGAAAGGGAACAGAAAAGATTTCAGAAATTTTTAAATGATGCTTTACTGCCTTCTGGAAAAGAGAGGCAGCTACACAACCCTGAGTTATCAGACTGTGTGGCAGTGCGGGTTGTGTGTGCCAAGTTGCACAGACTGTTAGAGCTCCAGGGCAGGGAAACGGGTTCCTGCTGTCTGCAGTGCACTTGTAGGGGACACTCTCTTCTGTGGGCGCTGTCTGGAAGGGCTGCCGCATCTGTTGCCCACCGTGCTGGGACCGGCTCAGAAGGGGGAAGGGTGGTCTTGTGTGCTTTTGTTTTTGCTGTGCTGCAGGGAAGCGTAATTCACAGAGCAGCTCTGGGTCATTTTTCTGACCAGACAGTTCCCTCACGCTGAACCCAGGTCCCATGGTCTGCAGCCACAGTCTTCCTGCGCTTGAGGAGGATGGCCCTGAGGAGGCTGGACCAGTTTTCTCCCCAGAGACGCAGACTATACTTTTGGCTGCCCAGACCTGAGGTGTCCTGAGCGAGCTTGGAGCTGCTCTCCTGCAGGTGCAGACAGTGAGCGGCCTGTCTGAGTGAGATCAGTGTGGGCCGCAGGCAGGCTGGGTGCACGCCCTGGGCAGGCATTTTGGAGGCTCAGCTGGCAGAGTGACAGGTGCAGTGGGATCAGTGCTTTTCCTCTATTTCTTTGTAGATACCAGGCTCGGGGTATCCCGCTGCCCCCTCTTGAGCTGCTGGATGATTGCTCTCCCTTTTGCAGACGGCTCTGGCCTGGCTCGGCCCAGGGACCTGAGGCCTAGGCTGGGGTGGGCCTTCCCATCCCTCCTGCTCCGAGGGTCTGGAGTGTGTCTGCACCGTGAGCCTGGAGGAGAAAGGGCCCGTCCCTCCTGCCAGCCCTCCCTCTGCTGGGCGTGGTACAGGACTCCCTGTGCCCGGGGCACAGTGTCAGGCAAGAGTTTTCTGAGTAAAACCTGTAAGGCTGAAAACACAGGAACCACTAGCCTAGTGGAGTTCCCTGGAGGCCCCTGCACCCCTGGCCAGACATGCCTCACTGGGGCTGGGTTGGACCGTGGGAGAGCAGCTCCCAGCACTATAGGTGCTGCTGCACCAGCTGTTTCATTAATTTAATTTTGGGACGAGGTGTCAGTGACTGCACAGCATTGGGACAGAGCCTGGCACACAGACTGAGCATCCTTCAGTCTTTGTCCTCTTAGTGTGCATGTGTGTGTGAGTGACTAAGTTGTCCAGGTTGGGCTTGAACTTGAATTATTCCTGCCTAGGCTTTTCAGGTGCTGGGATTATAGCTGGCTGCCACCATGCCTATGTGTACCTGTCCTTAGAAGCCACTTCCATCTTCCTGTGGGGTCTCAGGTGAATGTATCATCTCCTGGGGATGGGGTGGAGCCTGTGGAGGAGCAGAAGGGTGCAGCTGTCCCACGGTATGGGGTGCCACTGTTCCCTTTGCTTTCACTTTGGCAAGACGTGATAGAAGGCTTGGGCCTGAGACCTGGGCTGAGGCTTCGGGACTGTGATGATTCCGCGCATTCACTGCACTGCCTGCCGCCTGCTGTCCTCTAGATCCCAGGACTGAAGCAAGGCCCCCAGAGTGGCAGATGTGGTGCACTTTGTGGAGACCTCCTTCCCCGCATGCTCTCTCAGTGGAGCCATGGTGTTAGGTCCATGACTGCCTTACCGAGGGTGGACAGGTCAGGGCTGCAGAAGGGGCCCAAGAAGCTGGGATGTCTGCCCATTGGTCTGCCATCCCAGCAGCGGTGACTGGCCATGAGTGGCTCCCTGTTTGTAGACTTCCTGGAGGTCGTTTGGAAATGTAAAGGGGATGGAAGAAAGCACAAATGACT